GAACTTTTCGTCCGAAACAAATACCGGGAATTTCTCACTAGATGTGGATAACAATTACTAAATTCCACTTTCTCGTTGATCTGGAACCACCAGCCGAGCTTCCGGAACAGGAACAGAGACTTACGGATGCGGAAATAACACGGAAATACGCGAAAAGTCGGGAGCGAAAAATTCAACCGCGGCGCGTCGGCAGCGTTGCCATTTGATGGAAAGCACTCAAAATTAACAGGTTACTATGTCACCGTGATCTACTATCGTGTGACGGCCATTAGCACTAGTGTTGTACTTTCGTCAGTCAAAATTTATCCGTTTTTCGTATGTTTTAACGTGTATTTATGTCCGCATTGTGCAGCAAAACACTCGATAGTTAAAAATCTATCACCACTATTGAAGTGCAGTTGATCCGTTAAATTCTGACGTGGTTATTTGTCGAAAATACTTTTCGTCGCAGTGGATTGCTTTTTCTCAAGCGAAGACAGATATCGTGCTTTGTGTACCAACAATAGTGCAGTGTATTTGATCTCCTTATTGCCGCTGGTTTCTGTACCATCCACTACCAGAAAGAGATGGAGCGCAAACAATGTGGACAATGCAAATCGGACATCAACGATCTCGAGCCAGTGCAGTGTGGCTTCTGTGAAACGTTCTACCACATTAGCCAGCAATGTTGTGGCTTCAGCGGCAGAGCCAACAAAGATCTGTTCGCACAGGGAAAGGCGATGTTTGTTTGCCCCGTCTGCCGAGATGAGCTGAATGGTAAAAGCGTGCGGTCCTACATAGACGACAAATTGAAATCGCACGAGCCGTCGTCGCACAGTCTGCCAGACCAGGTTCAGCAGTTATCAACGTTGGTAGAAAGCCTCAGTCAAAAGGTGGATAGTATTGCAGCGGCTCAGAACCAGTCGACCCGTCCGCTGTCTGTCCGTAACCCATCTTCCTGGCCTAGGTTGGGTGCCAATCGCGGTCAGAAACAAGTTATCACTGCTAAAACTGATCGTGGAACGAATGCGATCGACCTCAGTGGGCTTTCGGTTGCATCACTTACACCCACTCCAGCTCCCCCAAAGTTTTGGCTCTATTTGTCTGGCTTTCAGCCGTTAGTCACAACGGACGACGTTCGAAAAATCGTCGCGCGATGCCTGAATGTGACTAACTCTTGCGATGTTGTTCGTCTAGTGCCGAGAGGAATGGATATCAAAAATATGTCGTTCATATCCTTCAAGATTGGACTAGATCCTTCCTTAAAGCAGCAATCTCTGCTTGCCACGACTTGGCCATCTGGTTTGCTGTTCAGGGAGTTCATCGACGAGCCAAAAAACCGGAAGAAGTCGAATGCGGACGAGGAAAGCGATTTAGACGCAGATCCCGAGTCACCAACGGTATAGAATTTGGACGTTTTTCCGTGGACGGTGGGAACCCTCGGGTTCCCATCACAGGCGAGTATTGTCATTCTGCTTCTCGTATACCAGCACTCAATCGTTTTGCGTTGCAGCGTTTCCCCACCTCTCGTGACTCCAGTCTCCCACTGACTCCAGACACCGAAGCTGCTGACTCAACAAACACCGAACCGGGACGCATCATGGAAAGCACTGTGGAAGCCCTCGATCTCTCCAGCCCGGTCCTGCCTATCGCTGCCAGCGCTCATCATAGTCGTCCCGGACCCGTGGTTGGATGTAGAGAGAGGGTCTTCCAGCCTGCTTCTTCAGGCAAGTACCATGCGAATGTGGAATTTCCTCTTCCTGAAGTGTCTTCCAATTCCAGCGGCCCTAGTTGCAACGTTCCATCTCCCACCTTGGCTCTCTCTCCTGTCATCGAGTCTGCTCTAGTTGGCAATGAAGAAGCAGTTAATGGTATGCGGTTCTACTACCAAAACGTGCGAGGACTACGAACCAAGGTGGATTCCTTCTTTCTTGTCGCAAGCGAGTGCGATTATGACGTCATAGTGCTGACCGAGACCTGGCTCGACGACCGTATATACAGTGCGCAACTATTCGGGGACACCTTTGCTGTATATCGCACTGATAGAAATGGCTCTAATAGTGCGAAGACCCGCGGAGGTGGTGTTTTGATTGCGGTTTCTACCCGTTGGAACAGCTATATCGACCCTTCACCCGTCAGCGATGGTTTGGAGCAACTGTGGGTTAGAGTGACTATGCCGAGCCGAGTTGTCAGCGTGGGCGTAATATACCTACCACCGGATCGTCGTAACGATAGCAGCAGCATACAAGACCACGTGGATTCCATCGGTGCCATTGTTGCTAACTTGGGATTCAATGATTTTGCTCTACTGCTTGGAGATTACAACCAGCCTGCTCTCCAATGGAGGAACTCAGACGATGGGTCTATGCAAGTTGAGCCTCAAACTGCTTTTAAGTCTGCAAGCTCGGCGCTTATTGATGGCTTTTCTCTGCATAGCCTCACGCAGCTCAATGGTATATCGAACAGAAATGCTCGCTTCCTAGACCTTGTTCTGTCGAACGAAGCTGCAACTCCAGCATGTGTTGTTTCGGAGGCTGTTGAACCTCTGACCACACTAGATCCTGACCACCCTGCTCTGGATGTAATGATGCAACTTCCGCCGCAGGTCGTTTTTGAGGCGCGCACCGACGATTCTCGTACCTTCGATTTTAGACGAGCTGATTATGCTGAACTTAGCGCTGCTATCTCCAGGGTCGACTGGTGACCAATAGAATTAGCTGAATGTGTTGACGATGCCGTCAATTACTTCAGGCAAACTATTTGCGATATCATGGCTGAATTTGTTCCTCTTTCACGACCTGCGCCGAAGCCCGCATGGTCTAATGGTCACCTGCGTCGATTGAAACGGTACAGGGCCAAAGCGTTACGAAGATACTGCCGAAATCGTTCATACATCACGAAGCAAGAGTTCAACCGTAGCAGTAATAATTATAGGAAATACAACCGATACTTGTACCGCCGATATGTGCTCCGTACACAGGCATCCCTTCGCAGGAACCCAAAGCGTTTCTGGTCGTTTGTTAACTCAAAAAAGAACGAAGTCGGTTTGCCTTTATCAGTTCATCTCGGTGAACAATCCGCCAGCTCTGAAACAGAAAAGTGTCGTCTCTTCGCTCAACATTTCATGAGTTCTTTTAATGATATGTCGGCATCACCTAACCAAGTTGGAATAGCAACCCGCGATACTCCAAGAGATGCGTTTGATTTTCGTTCATTCCAAATCGATGAGCATACTGTTGAATTGGCTATTCAAAGGTTGAAACTCTCGTATGCTGTTGGTCCGGATGGGATTCCCTCGTCCGTCCTAAAGCTGTGCTCTGAATCGCTACTCACTCCCTTGGCAAAGTTGTTCAACTTGTCTTTGCAGGAGTGCAAATTTCCTGAGGCATGGAAATTTTCGTACATGTTCCCAGTGCACAAAAAAGGTGACAAAAGGAATGTCCAGAACTACAGAGGGATCACATCGTTATGCTGCTGTTCCAAAGTGTTCGAGATTATCATCAACGAGGCACTTTTCAGTTCCTGCAAAAACTACATTTCCACGGCTCAGCATGGGTTCTATCCAAAGCGGTCAGTTACGACAAACTTGACTGAATTCGTGTCACTTTGCGTTCGGACCATGGATTCTGGTGGACAAGTCGACGCCGTTTACACTGATCTGAAGGCTGCATTTGATCGAGTTGACCACTGCATATTACTGGGCAAACTTGAAAAACTTGGCGTTTCTGACTCCATGATTTCATGGTTCACGTCTTATCTCACAGACCGCTCGCTCTGCGTTAAGATTGGCGCCTCGCAATCTGAAGTATTCACGAACATCTCCGGTGTTCCACAAGGAAGTAATCTGGGACCGCTTTTGTTTTCGTTGTTTATCAATGAGCTTTCTCGTCTACTGCCACCTGGATCCCGACTATTCTACGCCGACGACGTTAAAATGTACATGATCATCAATAGCATCGCTGATTGTGAGGATTTGCTACAGATTGTGGATCATATGCAAAGCTGGTGCTCCCGTAACTACTTGACGCTTAGCATCAATAAGTGCAATGTGATATCCTTCTACCGTAAGAAGAAACCGATCAGATTTGATTATTCCATCTCCGGCCAGATTTAGGAGAGAGTTAGTCAAGTCAGAGACTTAGGAGTTACTCTTGACTGTGCATTGACGTTCAAGCCCCATTACAATGACGTCCTGAACAAAGCCAACAGACAGCTTGGTTTTATATTCAAAATCTCCGAAGACTTTCGTGACCCGCTGTGCCTGCGGGCATTGTATTGTTCATTGGTCCGCTCTATTTTGGAGTTCAGTGCTGTCGTTTGGTGCCCTTATCAGGCCTGCTGGATTGCAAGGTTTGAGAGTGTACAAAGGAAGTTTGTTCGTTACGCGCTACGTCATCTACCCTGCCTTCATACGGGGACCGCTGCCGCCTGCTTGGGATTGATACCCTGGAAACAAGACGACGTAATGCTCAAGCTGTCTTTGCCGCTAAGATTATTATCGGTGAAATTGACTCCCCACAACTACTTCTACGCACCTGAGAGAGTAATGAGACAACGTAACTTCGTTCATCTTGCGACTCGTAACCGACAGTATGGGATGAATGAGCCTATCCGCGCCGTGGCTAATGCGTTTAATGATGCTTATGCTTGCTTCGATTTTAATGTACCGTTAACTGTTTTTATCAGAAGAATGTCCTGAATGTATAGATTGACTAAGCATCCTTTTAAACTTAGATTATTCATTAAGACAACCAAAAGTCAGATGAATTAAGATTATAATAAATAAATAAAAAAAATAAATTAAGCAACTCGAGTTACTCAGAGTTACTCAAAATTTATTCAAATATTACTCATAATCAAAAGCTGTCTCACCCCTAGGGTTGAATTGAACTGAAATTTGTTTGTATTTTCTTTTTTTTCTTTCTGTGTGTTGGAATAGCGTCTCAGAGGGCTGTAGTAGGCACTGAAATTAGGTTTATGCGACGTTTTACTAAGAATATCTTCTTTTCCTCCACTTGCAGATCACCCGAAAGCATCCCCTCCGAAGCCGAGCCGCATCAAAAAGCACACATACATCTACACACTTGTACAGAGCCAAATCGTTGCGTGTGAGAATGTAAGTAATTTTAAGTGACACAGAGACTTTGATAAAACAAAAAAAAACAAGCGAACGGCTTACAACAAATCAGACCACAGGTTTAGCTAACTAAATATGATAATATTTTTTACCTCCGTTTTTTTTCGTCATCGAAATCTATGTATCTACTGTATTTTGAATCGTTCACTAGCAGCGTACTTGTTTGTAAAATTGAGACTCTTCACACACACACACTAACTAACACAAAACAAAACTACGAATCATAACAAATGATTGTGAAACGGTACTACTACAAACAAACAATAACAAATGTCAAAACAAACGTCAAACGGTTGCATCACAAAACCCATAGAAAAATTAACCTATCAAAACAAAAGTGTTATCGTTCTCAGTAGGCTAGGCAGTTAGAGGCCAGAGGAAAACATTAGGGTCGTGTCGAAACTATGTGTGCGTGTGTAAATGTCAAAGCCAAAGCAGCTCTAAACTAAACGCGAAGGAGGAAAAGTTTCCGTTTTTCGTTAGATTTTACAACCGCAGTTCCAAAGCCGAGCTAAACAAATCGAGAAAAAAACAAAGAACCAGAGAGTGTAAACGTAAATGGTGACAATTCATTTTTTAATCGAAAAAAGAAAACTGTAAGTTAAAGTTAAGGATTCTGGACAAATATTTTCCGCGCGTTGATCGGGATTGTTGGGTGGCGGGAGAAAAATGGTTTATTTTGATTTTCTCCCAGCTAGGAATACTGTACAGTGGGGTTACAAATCCAAACAAAAAGGTTACGCTTACGGTGGATTGTGGAGGAGGAAGATGGAATGTTACGTTGATTGTTGGATTAGAAAACATTGAATCGTTAGGTTAGGTTTGCTACAAAAGAGAAAAAAACTTAACGTTCCTTTGTGTTGGTTGTAGCTAATAGTTGCCGTCACATTTGTTTTGGGACCGAGAAAATATGTATTTTGACGTTGTGGGATCGCAGTTGGCTAGATGAAAATGGACGATCTAATTAAAGTTTCAAACGCACACAGCCTACTGCTCCGCTTGTGTCAGCCAGGTGGTTGCTTCCCATTTTGGGATGAATATAAAAAATTACTCTCCTCAGACAAAATGTAATTTTTCGCACGTCTGTTTGTTGCCGGTTTGCTGATGAGGAATAAAAACATTCTCGGAAAAGAGGAACATACAAAAATGTTATCGTTTTATGTTCGTCGGTATTCGCGTAGAATCAGGCGGAAGAATGGAATTTAATTTGGAAAGACGTGATGAACCAGAGGAAGCTTTTATCTGTTTGTTTGTTTTTTTTTTTCGTTTGGATGACGCTGACAGGATCGCGTAGGAACGTCCACGTAAGATAAATTGTTAGGCCAAATAGAATTACATGGGAGAAGCGTGCTTCCAGAAAGTGATGGGAAAGCGGCTTCTGGTGCGAGACAAGATTCCGAATGTATTTTCAAGGGGAAGTATCATAACTCACGGAAAATGCTGAATTTGTTTGTAAAAAACGCATATTGCTAGAGGAAAAGCTCTCTTTTCTAACCTAGTCAATTCTAACAGTCAATCTTTATCGCAGAAAAAATAAAACAAGCGCAACTTTATGGAACAAATAGGAGTTACTCTAGATCCGCCGACAAGAACAGCAGACAAAACAAAACAGGAAAGTTTTCAGTGTTTCACTATTCCAGAAATAAATCAGAAATAGCAGAGATGTGCAAGCGTTCCAATATTAAAATATAAGTCTTATGACGCTGGGAAAATAATAGGAAAACTACACACAGGCACATGCACAGGTAAAACGGAGAATAAACCAAAACAAAACAAATCAGAAACCTAGAAAACTTGATATGATAAAATATAAAAAAAGCTTTAAATGTCGTTTAACAAAAAAAAATCATATAATACCAAAACACTACAAAGCAAACCAACAACAAATACCATTTTATCGAGAACAAAATAGCCGAAATTTGACATATTCAAACTCAAAAACAAGCAAACAAAACCGGATCATCCCAGCAAGCGAGTTGCTTTTTGAGAACCCCTCTCTGTTCTACTGTGTAAATAGAGCGAACAGCGAAAAGTCTCTCCATCTCTTCTTTCACTCACTAACACAGATACACGCTCGCGAAACAAATCCGGAAGAAGACGGCGGAGAGCGCTACCACTACAGATTGTGAGAATCTCAATGTTTCATATCTTAACGTGAACGGTACATTTGAAGCAAATGAAAAAAACGGAGAAAAATAAATCCAAAACAAAAACAAAAAAAAACAGAAGAAAACTGAAGAAGAAAACAACTTTAGATATTAGATAAATTATTGAACGAGAGTTAGGTTAAACAAACAAACAAACTAATTCACGAACGCGAGGCGAGTGACAGTTTCCAGTGGTGCCAGTTTGAGTGTGCAAACGAAGCGTGCGGAACTTGATTGACTTGATTTGCCTACGATTATCCATTTGCTGCTGTTTGTTTACAAAACAAACAAAACAAATACGTCAACCAAAACTGCACTCAGCACTGAAAACGAAAACCGAATCTTCCAAAGCAAACGAATGCACTTAAAAAAAAAACAAAATTTTACAATGTATAGAGGCACTCAAGCGCAACACACAAAACAGATGCGATTATTGCACGTTGATCACACATATCATTTAGTAAGCAATACATGGGCTACATGTTAAGTGATAGGGAAAACAGAGAAACATTGATGTTGAACACTGAAAAAAAAGAAAACTAGAAATGCTTTTTTTTGGGAAGCATGTGGGTGGTTGTGAAAAAGGTGTTTCCGAGAACGAATGAATGTCAGAACGAAAGTAGATGTAAACGATGTCATATCAAAGCAAGCCGTGGCAATTGATCCGTTTGACGTTATAACTAGGGTAATTTGCTGTGTTTGTGTTTTTATCTGTTGGCAGTTGTGCGCTTTGACGGAAGGAGACAATGCACGCTAGTTCAGAACTTCACAAATTTGGGTAGAATCCACCCAGATCGGTCAAAACCTAAACTATCTTGGGCGTGACAAGTGAACAACGTTGATCGTATTCATGTCGATGTTGCTCATTTGTCAACTCGTCACTCCCAACATTGTTTACACATTTTTAGTAGGTTCATTTCTGGCCGATCTGGGTGGATTCTACCCAAATTTGGGTAGTTTTGAAATATCGTGTAGATTTTTGGTATGTGAGGGGTGATTGATATAATTTAGAATTCTTAGGCTGTTTTCAGGCTGTGTTCCATTTGGTGAATTTTCACTTAAATTTGACAGATGGAAAATTTTCAAATCAACCTGCTGTTGTACCAAACTTTTTTGTCACAGACCAAAAATCAAATTTGACAAATACCTTCTCGAAAATCGGATGATCAACAACAGAGGGATTTTCGAACATTACAAATTATTTTCGAAGTGTCAAATGTAAGTGAAAATGCACCAAATGGAACACAGCCTCAATTTGGTCAACTCTCACTTTAGTTTGACACTTAGGCTCTGAAGTATTTGGCGGATTTTTTTTTAACTTTTGGTTACAATTTGACAGATGGAAAGTTATCGATTAACCCTTGCTTTCCGAGCGTGGTTATTTCTGACAGACAAGAAGTTAAATGTTGACAACCGTGGCTGAGTTCTTCTCGAAAACCGGTCGATCGACAGCACAGGGATTTTCGAACATCGAGAATAACTTTCGAAATGTCACTTTTAACCACGAGTTAAATTTAACTCGGCAAATGGTTCACAGCCTTAGAAAATAAATAATAATGTTCGAAAATCCCTCTATTGTTGATCGTCCGATTTTCGAGAACGTGCTTGTCAAAATTGATTCCTGATTTTCTGATCGATCAGAAATAAGTTTGGTACTGTAGCAGGTTTATTTGAAAATTTTCCATCTGTCAAATTTAAGCAAAAGGAACACAGCCTTAATCTTCATAAAAGTATTGGATATGAATTCTTTCACGAATTCATTCAGAAGTCTGAAAGATATTCTGTCCAAATTCTGGAAGGAATTTTTCCAGTATTCACGATGCAATTCCTCTGGAGTTTCGGGAAAAAATCCAGAATTCCTATAGAATAATCCGTTAGGAACGCTTTCAAAGATCCGGGAGAAATTCTTCCAGAATTCCCTGTTGGACTGAATTCTTCCAGAATTCAGTGCGGAATTCTTCCAGAATTCACTGCGGAATTCTTCCCAACTACCGGGAATTCCGGGAATACCGGTTAAGTCCCAAGAATTTGTTATAGTTGCTTTTTACTACGTCCGGAAGTTTCTTCCGATTGCCTTCCAAAGATTCTTCAGACATCCCCCAGAAGTTTCTTCTGACTTCTTCTGGAAGTTTTTCTGGCTTCCCATGAATATATTATTTTAATAAGGAGACGTTCAGCCCAAGGCTGATTCGTCTCCCAAACAACTTCCCCTTGAATATGTCTTCCGACTATTTCTGACTTTTCCGGAATTTTCATACAGTACGGAACCTAGTTCCAGATAAACTATGACTTCGAGGTTCCTCTTACTTCCTTCCTGATATATTCCGACCCGAGTACAGCGAACTAACTCAAAATGCTTGTCATCTGGGAGCCGAGTCAAACTGTCAAACGGGAGCCAAACATTCAAAAGAGCTCAGAAGTCACGTAGGTAGTTACTGTTTGAACCACAAGTAAAGGTGTTGCCACCTACTGAAAACAAATTAAGAATCATAATTATGAAACTGTCGAAACATCAACCTTAGTAGGCGGATAATGTAAATCATCGAGCGTGAAGCTCGAAAAAGTGTTTTTATTTGATATTAATAATGCCAAAACTGGGTTGCTGGAACAAGAATGTAATCAAACTTTATAAGGGACATGTGAGCTTTGTGGGCAGGTGCACTCCCATCGTTATTTCTGGAGCAGAGGAGGAGGAGCCAAGAGCTCATTTGACAGCATGTATATACAATCTCGTGAGCTGTTTCAGCAAAACAAATTGAAACTACGGAAGGTTTTCAAGATGTTTTCTAGCTCACTTGAAAAATGAAATCGGCCTCTGGCTTTCTCCTGAAGTTTCTTCCAACATCATCTGACAGCTGTTTGCTCCAGACTTGATCTGGATTAACACCAGAATATTCTAATGATTTCTCCAGGATGCTCTTTCCGACTTACATCAGAAGTTCGGCTGACTTTTTCGGGAAGTGAGTGCCAACTTCCTCTGAAAGTTTATCTCCCGACGGATTCTGTCAGCTACCCCTGAAAGTTTCTTGTGATTTTCCCGAAAAAAATTCTGACTTCAACGGTTCTTTCCTCTCTCTCTCTCTCCAAAAAGCTTTCATTGTTGATTTCACTTCATTGGATCATAGTATTTTTGCCGGGAATAGTTTCTTGGTCGATGTGGTCTATTTTTTCTGGATAAAGGGTGTCCACGATGAAATTGCCACACTATGAAATTGCTCTAACTTTTTAACCGTTGGGTAGAATTTAATGAAAATTTGGGTGGATTTAGTTCATAGTGCATTATTTACATCCTGCAAGTTTTAAAGTCCTGTGATCAAAACTCGCGGAAATGGAGTCGAAAGAACAGCTCGTGCGTGATAAAATCTTGCGCATTCATCACGAGAACAAGGATCTCTCGCATCGTTCCATCGCTAAAACGTTGGGAATCGCGAATTCCACGGTGTCGCGAGTGATTAAGCGGTTCGAGGAACGGTTGACCACCGATCGGAAGCCCAGAAGTGAAGGAAAAAGTATTCCGTACAACACCAAAAATCACAACCGCGTAGTTGGGGCTTTCAACCGAAATCCGAACGCCTCCGTTAGGGATGTGGCTAAGAAGCTGCACCTAAGCCGAAGTTTTGTCCAGAAGGCCAAAACTAAGGCTGGGCTTCGAACGTTCAAGGTACAAAAGGCCCCTAA